AACCTAATGCTTTTGCAAAATAATATTACGGTAGATATTGCTTAGGAATGGGGATATCCCGTATCACGTATTTTATTGTTAGAACTATTGCTTGATGCTTTTCATGGACACTAAGGAATTAGTGTACATGAAACTCATCAAAGGGTTTTTATTAAGGAATTAAGGAAAACTAAATTTGAGAACTGATGAATTAAGGTTAATAAAAATTATCTCAGAATAATCCTACATGGTCTTTACTTGCATTGTTTCCACTCCCCTAACATCGTTCTTAGTTTAATCTAAAAGTGAACTTTTACTCGCTTTGATACTTTGCTACCAAACAACCCCCTAGACTTTTTGTTCCTTTGAATACTAAAAATCCCGTTAATTTCTATGCAGTCCTCGAGATCGATACTTGGGACCTTTTCCCTTATTATTACAATCGGTAAAAATAGTACACTTGCTATTTTCCCGATCAGCTACCAAGCTAGGGAGGAAATTCACTATTAGTAGTATCAATTCAGAGTTAAACCTCCAGTTTACATTCCTCACTTAATTCATACCCAATGACACTTCAGCCTATAGACACTCTAGTACCTGATTATACCCACTCACTCCCCCTCAATCACACAACAGTGATATCAGTTACAATTACAGAATAATTTTGAAGACACACTTCAAAATATACCTTGATCTTGCTTCACAGCTTGATCAAAGGAATACACACTCTTGTTAACAGCTTTGAGTGAGACACAGCTTAGAATCTACCTATCCAATGCAATCATCCACTAGACAATTGCTTGGAATACAAGTATTCCTAAACAGAATTCAGACGTGAAGACTAGCCTTCTTAACTGTACAAATATGTCTACCACAATGTATCAAAAGATACAAAGGATGACTTACACACGAGGGAATCTCAAACCCTAGACCTCTATTTTACACTCAAGTTCTTCTTGATGTGAGTGCTTGTTTTTTCCTTGCTTCTGCTCTTCGTTTTATTAGCAACGCAGACTGGGCTTGGGCTGGTCCAAACTAACAACCATTAGTTTTAACAAAGTAAAACTAATTTCCATAATTCAAGGTGCTTTGAATGACGATTCATGATATGGTCAGCACTGCCTAAAATCTCTCCTGAGATAACTAGAGAATGCTAATAAGTCTCCTGAAATCTAGCATGAGATAACTCCTGCTATATAACAGAAAACCAACATGCCTGTTAGCTACCTGATGTCATATGATCAATGTCATAACATTCAATCATGACATTCAATTCTCTTTGTGCTAGCTGACCAAATTAACATTGCTGAACACTTCTACAGAATCTTCTTCGCAACAGTAGAAACAAGCATCTTATAGTTTCCTAAAACGTCTCAAGGATCCTTTTTATGAACACCAATTAAATCTGCACTTTGTTCCTACTAAATCTTTAACCTACACACACTTGCACTTCTGTCAAGTGATAGCAGCTCCTGCTATCCCAGTCAGCAGTTTTGTCTTCAGCTCCTACTAGCTCCTACTGCACCAGACATTGCAGTTCTTTCTTCAGCTCCCGCTGCACCAGACAGTGATGTCATGACTTTGCTAATGACATCCTGTTCAAAACACATAACATCAGTTCTTTCTTCAGCTCCTGCTGCACCAGACAGTGATGTCATAACTTTGGTAATGACATCCTGTTCAAAACACATGACAACAGTACTGTCATCTGCTTCTGCTAGCTCTTGCTGCACCAGACCTCGATGTCATGACTTTGGTAATGACATTCTGTTTAACATTAGTGCAGAATCATGTTTTACCAAAATTTAGCCAATCATAGAACCATAGAAACATGGTACTAACACCCTTACTAACTCCTTCAAATGCCCAAATTACCCTTATTTCACTTATATTCATTTTAATTAATAATAATACTAAAAAATTTATATTATATACTATTAATCAAATAAATTACCCAAAAATGCACGCTTTTCCAATAATCCACCAAACTACCGAAAATCACCGAAAAAATGAATATTCTCAATTAAATAAATAAATTAAAATATTCTAATTAAATTTGGGGTGTTACACATTCCTACAAGAAGGAAATTAATATCAATAAGGTTATTGATAGATTTCTGAGAAAAATAAGACCGTGGGAGTTGGTTCCACTTCTTCCGCAAATGTTGTGGATAAACATAGTGGACCATCAATTGAAATATCTGCGAAAAATATGAACAAGACCTTGCAGAAGAAACCTGTGCAAAAGAGTGACTAAGATCCTTATGAGTGTTAAGTTACCATCCAAGATATAGTTCAAGATTAAGCTTGAAGGATTATGAGTTTGTGTGGGTTGGTGTTTTGAAGTTAATTGTTGTGATTTAGACAGTGAAGTTTAAATTTTAAAGATTCTGTCTACAATACAGTTAGAAGTTTTGTGTTTTCTTTAGCCCTTGTATTTGGGCATATTTTGTTTCCTCATTCTTGATCTATAACAAATTGATAGTCTCATGGTTTTGTTATCAATAACTGCGTTCTGATGCATATATGTGTGATATTTGTTGGTGTTTATATACTCCTAATTTGTGTATATGTTAACATACTAACCTTTATGTTGATCGATTGACTGATTTTTCTGGATCAAACCTTTACAAAAAAATGACAAAAGGGGGGAGTAATTGTGTGGGGTGGTGTGACTGGTACTAACTAATGTTCTGAATCTGTATGCACACATACTGAAACATTTGACTGTCAACTCTGTATGATTGTGTGTGTTGAGTTCTTTGTGTGTTAGTAATAGCTTCCGAATCGTGAATACTGACTAATAATTGTGTGTTCATGCATGACTATCTTATCGTAAATGATTGCATAATTGACTGTTATGGAGCATTGACTAAGTGTAAAAACCATTTGGATGACTTGTGCTACTAACTTCTATTGTTGTTGTTGTGTGTTTGTTTTGATGTGTGTTGATCCTGTTATTTATGTTGCTGCTATTATTTGCTTTATGTGTGTCATGCTTAATGATCAACTTATGATGCACATCTTGTATGTTTCTGAAGAATGTTGTTTTTCCAAAATTTGTCAAAGGGGGAAGCTTGTTTTTCCTTTTTGGATTGACTATATTATGTAAAAAAACATGGTATGAACACATGTTAGACGTGATATTCTAGCTAGTGTGGCATATCTGGCCCCAACAACTTTTGTGAAGAAAGTCACATGTGGGAACTGATGTTCCAGCATGTGTTCCTTGTCTGCAGGACAAGGCAGTTGTTGTGGGTGTGTGTTTTCCAATTGTTTTTAGCGCGTGTTTATGTTACTTATGCAACAAGGATGACTGTTATCTTTTAGCAATCTAATTTGTTTGATTATTTAATTACACTAAATTTAAACCATGAAGATTTAAATTTGAATTCAAATCAAATCAAATCTTTTATGGAGATATTTTGGAGAAACAAATCCTAACGAAATCTTCACTATATCTGGATGAGATCACTTCTAAATCCACAGAGAAAATCTTAACTATGGATTGTTATATATCGAGACTCTTTCACGCCTTGAAGACCATCGATCTTGAGTGTTAATTTGTGTTTTAGTCTGAGTCTTTGTTTGTTGTTAATTGCACACCATGTGATTGCTTCATTCATATCATAAGACATAGTAGACGGTTTGCTTAGTTGAGTTGTAAATTCAACATTGATCATTCTGATTATTGTTGTTAATCACTAAGGTTGGTGATTGAGAGAAAGTGAGAGAGTGTTCTCATATTTAGGGGGAGACCTAAATAGAAATACACTGAGTGTAGAATTAAGAAGAATGGAATTGAACAAAAGGTTTGTTCATTTAAGACACTTTGTACTAATTTTATTAAAATAATGGATTCTTTTCTTAAATAAAAGTGTCCTCTAGACGTAGATGTTGTTTGCACCAAATTGAGTTATCAATTTTCTTATGTTTTTTTTATTATTTTTACTTTGATTATGTGTTGTTGTTATATTGTGTTTATCCTTGTATAACAAGTTGGACAATCTGATCAAACATCTATCTCCCGTGTAACATAAATTCAAATATGAAAGAATAGTTCACAAAGTTAAAAGACACACAAAAATTATATGAGTTCCTCTTATTAACAAATGTTACATCTAATTTCTAAACTTCTTAGAAGATTTTTTAATATAGTTAAATCTTTATACAATTCTACAACAAAACTCTTTTTCAATCTTCTAATACACATGCAAAAAGAAACAACATTACTTTCTTTTACAACATCTTATCACCACAAACTTAATAATTAAGTGTGCTTTAAATAACTTTGAATAAAGCTAATCTTGACTTGGTTCTAAGTTAACAATTTGATTTTCTCTTTCACAATATTACATTACCAAAACTTAACCAAACACAACTTAATTTTATTCACCAAATAAAAATAAATAAAAATTTGTGTTTTGTTTAGTTTGGTTAAAACGAATATCGAACTCGTAAGACTTTTTAAGGATATTTTGTTAGTTTCCCTTAAAAGAATTCATAGACCAGCCATGTGACAAAAATTGCAAATACAAACTGAGATTGTTATGAATCTAGACTTAATCACAAGCTATATACTGAACATTAATCAAATAAATTAATTATGACTTATTTACCAAGGAAAGGAGTCAGAAAGAACATTTAATTTCACATCTTACTGGCTCATTGACTTGCAGAAAAAATATTATTCTTTTAAAAAAAATATTAATTTTTAGATTCTTTAAATAATTTGTGTATTTAATCTATTATCACTCATCAAAATAATCAATTAAAAGAATAGAAAGGAAAAAATATTTTAAAATATAATAAAAAATTCAAATCTTGTTTGACTAGCTTTTGAATGTGATCAGCACTACGTAATGCATAACATCATCCTTTCAAATATTGAATTTTATACTTTATTTTGAATCTGGCCATTTTTCATAACCATATCCCAATACAAATCTCACAACTACAATATATAAATACAATTCAATTCTCTTCTCTTCCCATTCACAATCACAAATCACAGTTCCAATATGTCTGCTTCTATCAAGATCGTTGCTCTCTCTGGTTCTATTCGAAAAGCTTCTAACAACACCGGTCTCATCCGTTCCGGTTAGTTCCTTACTTTTCATTTTTTAAATCTTAATATCTGATTTTGTAAAAATAAAGAGACCAATCACTCTTTATATTTGTTGGGATTTATTTAAAAATAAAGTTAAGTTCTAGAATCTAAGATCTTGAGACGAAGATATCCGGAAAAATTAAGTATTCTCCGGGTTACTACGTCTTACAAGTAAATAAGTGTTTTAATTAGTTTGATTTATGAATTACTTGTTTTTTTTTTTAATTTTAAAATTTTGATTGTTATGATCGTAGCTATTGAATTGAGCAAAAGTGTTGTTGAGGGTGTTGAAATTGAAAATGTTGATATTTCAAATCTGCCATTGTTGAACACTGATCTTGAGAAAGAAGGAACCTATCCGGCTGAAATTGAAGCTTTTCGCCAAAAGATTGTTGCAGCTGATGCCTTTCTCTTTGCTTCTCCTGAATATAACTATTCTCTCTCTGGTAACTAAACTTCATAACTCTCATTTTCACTTTCACAATCATAGATAATTGTTGAATCTGAGATCAAAAGTTTTTTATTCATAATTTAGGGAAAATAAAGTTGATTTTTATGATGTATTTGTTTCAGCTCCACTTAAGAATGCAATTGATTGGGCATCAAGGCCACCAAATGTTTGGGCGGGTAAACCTGCTGCTATAGTGAGTGTTGGAGGAGGCCATGGTGGTGCGAAATCGCACTACCATCTTCGACAAGTTGGAGTTTTTCTCGATCTTCATTTCATCAATAAACCCGAGTTTTTCCTCAACGCGTTTCAGCCTCCGGCAAAATTTAACAGTGAAGGTGACTTGATTGATGAAGGTGCTAAGAGTAATTTGAAGGAAGTTCTTTTGTCTTTGAAGGCATTTACCTTGAAGCTTCAAGGCAAAAATTGAAATCGATTTTTGAGTATCATTAATTGTTTGAAATAAAATAAGCTTTTTGTGTTTTAAGAATGATTTTAGCATAAGTTGTTATTGATACTCAGTTACAAAATGTATTTGTTCTTCATTTATATCAGGAATTTTAATTCATTCTATGTTGTCAGAGAAGTTATGGTTGAGCTCCACGTTAAATACATAAAAGTTGAAAAAGACTTGTTAAGAAAAGGGCATGATAGCCAATATAAATGTGGTCCTCTTATGGTCATTAAGGATAGGTCAGATAAGATCAATTAAAATTGTCAGAGAAGTTATGACTGTTACGCTTAAATGGAAGAAAAATATTATTGGTTAACATGAAGACTATAGTGGTTGTGGTTATCTGGAAAATGGAGAAAACATGGAGTATAATAGGAGAGACACACAAACAAAAGATGTACATCTATCAAGTATATTTGACATTCATTGTAATGTTAGAATAAGATCTATCTAATGTGTGTTTAAGTATCAGGTTCTTATATATATAGAATCTGATATAAAAACACATTTGAGAGAAACTGAATTACTTGCTCTTGATGATACAGAATCTAAACAACACTCCATAAGTGATGTTTGGCATAAACTCTGAAGCTGAAGACCTTAGCATCAGAAGAAACAACACATTGTCTCTACACTTAGTGATTGTATTAGTTTATGATGATCGTTCAGAAACAGTAGCAAAGTTAAAGCTATCCGCACTGCAGAATGCAAGTTGCATTATCAAATCAGTTTGTCAGCTAGAGTTTAAGTTCACAAGGCTCAAGAAGAGTTGACATGCTTTACGGATAACAACTCTCAATGAATTTATAGTACATGATCTCTTTGAAGACTCAATGGTTAAACACGATACACAATGGATCAAGATCTTTTGGTGTATCTATCTTCAACATCTCTTGTACTATGGAGAAAACAAAAACACTTGATCAAATTATCTCTTCCTACGACCAGTCTTCTGCATAAACTGCTATATAAGTAGTTGAAGGTTCAATCTGAATCTTTAACAAGGAATAAGAAGAAGAAGGAATGCCAAGAAGATTAGAAGTGTTCAACATTTCTATCTGAATGAAGACATAACAAGATTAACAATGAGCAACACTACTGAATATGTAGAAATTTCTGTTACTTGCTGTAAATTGTAAAAAACCTTAAGATTTCCTAAACAATGAATATCTTGGAAATCTTAAGTGCTTAAGGTCTTTGTTAAGGTGATTACCATGTACCTCTGATCTTAGTATCAAGTACACCTTATTCTCTATTCTGCTGAACATGTTGTGTAGTTGTTTAGATCAAAGTCTCTTGCTAAGTGCTTGAGCATAAAAGTCTCTAGTTGGAAAGCTTGAGCCAAGTAAGTCTCTTGCAATGTGATTGAGAATTGAAAGTCTTGATCTATGTTGATTAAGCAAGTGAAGTCTTGGATTGAGAATTTGAGTAAAGAAGACTTAGACAGTGTGTCTGAGCAGTGAAGTCTTGGATTGAGAATCTGAGCAAAGAAGACTTAGATGGTGCGTCTGACCAGTGAAGTCTTGGATCAAGGATCTGAGATGAGAAGTCTTAGGCATAGTGTCTAAGTAGTGAAGGCTTGAACCAAAAGAGTTTAAGTAAGGAAAGTATTAGGATATGAGGATTTAAGCAGAGAAGTCTTAATCAAGAGCTGATTAAGTAAGGAAGTCTTAGGTTGTAGGTCTGAGCAGTGAAAGCTTTGTGCTTAAGTGCACAAGTAGTTATAACACGTGTTAATTATAGTGAAAAATATCTTACGTGGTAAGGGGACTATAGTTTGTAATCATATATAAAAGAGGCTTGGTTTATAGAAGAAAATAAGAATATTTGTATTGTCTACCTCATTCTATATTAGGAATTGAGAGACCAAGTGTGTTAGGGGTTTATGAATCTCATCATTAGGGTGGATTTGAACCACTTATTTATTAGATGTAGGGTGGCAAGATCAGTGTGGGAATTGGTGGGTAAATGGTTTAACATAGATTGGTGTCTAGGAGAGCCTTTGTGGGAGACAAGAATGAGAAGGTTTAAAGGCTTGAAGAAAGGTAATGTTGAATTGGTGTGGATGGTGACGATTTGGATCTTATGGAAATTGAAAAACACTATCCTTTTTAATGGAGTTTTTTGTGTGATTTCGGACATAGTTTGAGATATTAAACTAACAGCGTATAAGTGATCGTTTTTAGGAGATGATTCTTATTCCAATTATAATTTCTTTGATTTTTATCGAAAGCCTTTCAGTTGTATGAAATATTTGCAGTTGGTTTGGATTCTTTTCCTCCTCGTTTTTAATTTCGGAGAGTTTTGTTATATTAAGGATTAGAAAACTCCTATTACTCTCTTTTATTAAACCTTACTTAAAAAAATCATTAAGGTGGATTTTCATAATCTTAAACCATATAGGTAATTTATATAACACTATCATGGAATGTAGTGCATTATAAGAAAGATTGATTAGCTTAATAATTTGAATTCTTAAACCTAGAATGAAGAATGGATCATCAATATAAACCCTAGATTAGATTATCTAGACCGTGTGTAATTTCCTTTTTTTTTATTACGAGTTTATATTTATATTGACTAATGGTGAGATGATCTTAGATAAATGGGAAAGTTATGATATATTAGGGACGTGTTAGAGTTACGAGAACATGAAAATTTAAAAAAAATTTACAGCATGAATTAATTAGTATATTCACGTGAATCAAATAAGATCTTCACATAACCCAAAAATCTCCCTGTGGTTTGAGTCTCACCGACTAATTTTCGATTATGTGAATGTGATTTAAATAACACTAATTTTATGTCTGGATAAAATATTTTCCTCTCTGAATCTCATCCTTGCTTTTACAACTTAGTAATTTGGTTGAGAGTATATCCGGATAAAATATTTTTCTCTCCATGCAAATATTTATTTAACTATGATGTTTTTTCCACCAGGCAATGAAAGTAAAACATGAAGAAAAGAAATGTGTATTTATAAAATCACATAAATATTTTCACAAAATAAATGTAACAAAAAGTAATTTAAAAAAAATCATAATTTCTTCACAGTCAACTAAAACTTTTTAGAAAAATTTATAACAAATTGAATTTTACAAATAAAATTCTTATTTGAAAATTTTTTGCATAAAAGTTTTAAATAAAAATTTGTTTGAATAGTGTAATACCCCAAATTTTATCCTTAGATTAGTCGTTTCATTTCGCATTTTCACCTCATTTTGCATTGCATTATCACTAACCGCTAACCAGTTTGCTCAGTCTGTTGGTTTTGCAGGAAAAATCACACTGTGCGCAGTTTAATTGGTGAAGGGCAAAATGATCATTAATTGCAGTTTGCTGACGATTGATGAAGCAGAGTGTCATCAGGAATCCCTCAAACAATTAGGGTTCCCATATCCGATCATGTGGCTTAGTTGAGAATGAGTTGAATTTTATGACAATATGGACGTCACACGTCTCGTGACACATGACATTTTATTCAAGAGTCGAGATTTAGTCGTCAGATGGATTTCAGAAATCCTGTTTGATTCCGAAACTATATGGAGCTGAATGTGTTGAGATATCAGTGAGTTCGGGTTAAATCGATATGAGAATGTGCTTTGAGGAATTTATTGTGACAGGCGCACGTTTTCCTGCTTTCTGCCAAACAACGGTTGATTTTAAGGGAACAATGGAATTTTAGGGAGCGTTGGATTTATAATGAACATCTGTTGTTTTGATCATGACTGTTAGTTGAGCTGGTTCAGGTTACCGAGTTAAGGTAGTCAAAACGCGGTTGAAATTTTCCAAGACAGTTTATTTTTTCGTTTAACTGAATTTCTCTGCCTATCCGTTCAAGGCCACATTCACCATTAATATCGGGTACGAATTGATTTGCAAGAGGTTTTGAGCTCAGCAGTTATGTCAGGTTTAAATTGTGCAAGATGGTTTAATGGTCAAATTTGGAGTTGGAACGTCGCAGTTAGTTAGACAATTGTCATTGGATGAATTTAATTAATTGAATTTATTTCAATCAGATAAGTTTTAAATCGGATGAATTTGATCAGGTGAACCTAGTCAGAGAAATTTAATCAAATGGATTTAGTCAGGTAAATTAAGTCGGTTGAGTTTATTTGTATGAATTTAAGCAGATGATTTTATTTGGACGAATTTAGTCGGAGGAGCTCGATCGGATAAAGTTCATTAATTGGTTTTAGTTGTTTGAGCTTATCGGGAGAAATGTAGTCGATTAAATTTGACTAAGTGGATTTGTTCGTTCGAGCTTATCGGGAGAAATTTAGTCGGATAAATTCAACTAAGTGGATTTTTTCGTTCGAGCTTATCGGGAGAAATTTAGTCGGATAAATTCAACTAAGTGAATTTTTTCGTTTAAGTTTTATCGGATGAGTTGTTCGGAGATTGGAATCGGAAATTGTGATCAAGAAATGCGATTGGAAAAATAATTGGAATTTATTCATTTAATTCTATATTATTAGAATATTACAAAAATGGTAATTACAAAGAATTTCTAAAATTCCTAAATTGTTCTTCGAGTCCGATCTTCAATTCTCGACTTTCGACTTTTTTTTCTCCGAACCTACAAAACAACTCAACAGATGAAAATGATTCAATTAATTAAATTGGTTTTTTTTTCCGGATCCAATACCTTCAGTTCGATTTTATCATCGGGTATGTCGGGAGGGCAACGACGAAGTTGTCGCCAACTCCCAACTTATTTTTTCCGCCTCGGCACAAGACCCGGCAGATCTGTTCTAATTCCAGCCAGGAGAGAGAAAAGTGAGAAAAAATGATTTTTGGAAAATCATTTTTTTGAAAAGTGCTTATTTTGGAAAAATGTTTTTTCCCAAACACAACACTAACAAGATTTCCCAAAATCCTAACAGCCAAACGGATCAAATCACGCAAGTAACCAACTCCATGAAAAATCCCCAAAGCAGCGCAAAAAATTCTTGGGAATAAGCCACCAAAATTTC